CCTGTGGATAGTGGCTTGGGGTGTTTCAGTACGACGACAGCATCATTTTGAGTCAGCAATTCTCTTTGCTGGAAAATAGCAGAATCCATCTAAAAACAGGAATAGAAGAGATTTTTCTTTTTAAACAAGATTCTTGCAAGGTTTTTAACACCAAAATTGGTATTGGGCAACAGGGAAGTACAAATAAAGCAAAGATTTCATCCTGTGGCCCCACGTAGCTCTTGTTTGTCTTTATTTTCTCTTCTGACTTTTTTGTAAATTCCAGTGGTTTCTGGGTCCTGAGACACCTAATTGAATTAGTTGCTTCAAATATAAATAGATGCAGAAATGTGTAACGTAAGAAACATTCTGTTCTGCGGAATGACTTCAACTTTGAGGTGAAATAGTAGATACGAGTGTCTGACAGAAGATTTAAGTAGCGTTATATCAGTATAAAATACAGAAAAGCAGATGAGAATTTTCAGGCCTGAGGAGAACCTGCCATACCTCAAAGAAAATAAGTGATTTTATAAATCTAACTTTAGCCAGTTTAGTTCTAGACAATACAGACTTGGTTTAACATTTCTTATCTTACCTTTGTTTTTAGTTAAATATCAGTAAAGAGTCTCAAATGTGAATCTCTCCGCAGAAAGACTTCAGAGTTCAAGAACTCCCTCTGGCTCGTATTAAGAAGATAATGAAATTAGATGAAGATGTGAAGGTACGCTCATGGGTGTTTTTGGTTTTTTTTTTTCCCTGAAGTATTTATGATCGTTTTGGTGGATATTGTAGCTACAATTCCTTGTAATTCCATACTACTTCTTACCATTATTTATTATTATTTGTAAAGCACACTGTAACAGTTGCCTTCAATGCAATATTAGCTGGCCTGGTTAATTAAACTGAGTTGGGAAAGCAAAATCATTTGGGATCTTTGGTTAATACTTTTGCAGTTTTGCTTTCTTCTGGTAAATACCAGTCTACTGTGTAATTCTGGATGTTTCCTGTTTTTTCTAGTGCTTAACTGTCTTTTCTCATGTTTCCTCCTTGTTTCTCTTTACTGTTCCTTTCACACAGCTATAGAGTGTTTAGTATGAAAAGTGATATCACTTGGATGTGTGTTACGCTGTTTCAAGTTTTAGGGGGAAAAAAGTAATAATTTCAGTAGATAACATGGATTTAATACCAGTATTTGAGCTGAACCCTTGACATATGACTGATGATGATAACACGTGAATTCACTGACAGAAAAGGAAGGAGAAAGAAATCACCTGCAGGGTTTGACTCTTGCGCTGCTCCAGTCCTCCCTGGTTTTTTTTTGTTTGTTTTTTTTGTTTGTTTTAACTTGGAAAACTGTCAGGCACTTAACTTCTAAGAGAGAAGAATATGGTTTGCACTTTCTTCTTGTTTTTCTCAATGTGACACCATCCTTCTGTTAGGACAACCTTTAACATTTAAATGAGATCCTGAAAAAGGTGTGCGTTGTCTTCCTGTACAAGGGAGCTATTCATTCAGCCTGGAAAGGGACTGAACCCTGGCCTCTGAGGTCCCAGTTCACTGTCTGAACCAAATGAGTGCCAAATTTTTGATGATGAAGGGGAAGATGAGATTTTAGAGCGGGGCGGTGAGGGTGGGAAGTCTCTGGCTTGCCTGGAACGTTATTTAACGAGAAGGCTGTACTAGGGAGTAAGCATTAATGCCAAGCCAGCTAATAATGAAACTGCTTAATTTGAGTAAAACTTGAGCAAGATACTTTTTAAGGAAAAGGAATTTGGTGAGGCAGTCTTTGCTCAGGCCTCCAAACCTCCTTTGCAATTTCAGCATTCATTTCAAATTACATAAATATTACAACTATAAAGCAAGGGCCAGGTTTTAAAATGACCCTTGACCTGTCCCCTTCAGTTTCCGAATCGTTCATGCAGACGCCAATGCGCCGGTTGACGGCCCCTGGGCGAACGTGCGCTGATGCCACTTACCGACCTGTCGTCATCCAGCGCAATACGAAGTTGGCATCTGACTAGTTGTGGAGGAAACAGACTTTCCACACAAATTTTAGATGCCCAGTACTCTTAACACTCCATTTAACTTGAAGCTAGTATGTCTTTGGACTGTCAGACCTAAAGATACTCTGATGTGGAAATCCCCTAAACTTCACTGTTAAACAATGCAACCATTCAGGTTTGACTATGATGATAAAGGAACCCTGGCTACCATGTTACAGTATCTTTACAATGGTAAACTTTAAAAAACAATTTTAAAAAATTGTAAATTTAATTGCAGATGATTAGTGCCGAAGCTCCCGTGTTGTTCGCCAAGGCAGCTCAGATATTCATAACAGAATTGACTTTGCGAGCGTGGATACACACAGAAGATAACAAGCGCAGGACTCTGCAGGTAACAGAGCTGCTCCTACCTAGCCTTCAGCTGCTTCACAAACTGTTTCCAACTCTTTGTTTCCATAATATGAGGCATGTTTTGTAGACAGTAACTTTAGTACCTGTGTCTATTGCTACAAGCCTGTGTACAAAGCACAGTGCTCAGTGTGACTGTGCAACTGAAATGCTTTTTTCTTAATTTATTTTATAAAAAAAGCCAAAACACAAAAACCCAACAACAACCAAAAGCAAACAACAATAAAAACCAAAACTGCAGCTAATTGTGACCTGAGTAAAGAGGTCACTGAGTGACCTGAAGAGTAAACTGTAACTCTTTAGGGTCTCTTTATGGCGGGGAAGGCATTCACTTTGTCTTACATGTTGACCAGAACTACTTGAAATTATAATAACCATCAGTTCAGGCCCTCAGATCAGAGGTGAGTGATTGTGATATTTAGGACCACATCAGCTCTCCTGTACCCTGGTGCAGAGATTGCTGTGGTGCAAGGAGACATGTCTGATTTCAGACCAGAGCTGTGCTATCGAGTGGCATCCAGCTGCTCAATCCCCACTAAACTGGGCTTATGCTACTTGCTTAACCCAGGCTTGAATGCACTTACTGTGGGAAGGATGTATTTGATATACATTCCATGAACAAGATGCTTCGTAAGTACAAGTGCTGGCTCGGGCATGTCCTGTTAACAGTTTTCAAGCTTGGATGGATCTGTTTATTTCAGAATCGTACTTAAATCCTGATCCCAATGTATAAGGCCTTGAATTGACTCAGGTTTTATTTCTGACTGCCTTGCTTTCCACAGCAGCTGCCCTCCTGGAACAGCTGCTCTCTGCATGGACTGTGCAGCTGGAGAAATGCAGTCTCTGCTTACCAAGTATTTGGGAAGAAAATTTTGAGTGGAGAGGTCTGAGTTATGGAAGTCTAGTCCTGAGGAAATTGGATTGCACCCAATCCTCAGCATGGAGAATGAAATATGAGATACATCTGTTCAGTAGAAGTTTTCTTCTTGGTGAAGATACTTCTATAATATATGCTGCCTGCAGAACAAAAGAAATGTCTCTCTTGTGCTTTCTACGTGATCATTGTTTAGTAATTAAATGCCAAGACAGTATAAGGTTTAGAAATGTCAGCTAGCCTGAAATGAGACGATTGATAGTCTTTTAAATTTTACCTGCTCATTAGGTAGCGTAGGCATGCTCATCTCAAATCTCGTTCATATATAAGCTTTACAAATTTATCTTCAGCTAATGAGAATGAGACTTTTAATAGCTTGTTGAATTAGCTCTACTTTTTAAGATGACGTGCAAGTACTTTTTTTTTTTTTTTTTTTTTTTTTAAGAAACTCTCACCTTTTTTTATCTTGGAGGTTGTTTCAGATCTTAAGCAAATACATTTAAGTGATGACTTATTGCTGGGTAATTCTTTATTCAGGTCTTTAATGCTTTGACCTAGTGCTATTCTTTGGATTTCTTTTTCAGGCAAGGTATAAAAGTAAAGTTATAAGCTGTTTTGAGAAGATACTTACCTTGCCAGTTTTTCTGATACATGTTTGGCCAGTTTGCTGAGTATATGTTTTAATTTTTCTGCTTTCTTTTTAACCATTTTGCCCTTCCACATGCCGAAGCTTGTTCTCCCAGCATCTCTTGGGATTCCCCTGCCCCGAATAAGATCTTGTAATACTTTTTTGGGGTTTTTTGTGTTTGTTTTTGTTTTTTTTTTTTATCCCATCCCCAACTCATAGATTCTGCATGTGTTGCTACTAATACATGGAGCAGTCACCTTGGTCTTTTGGCAAAGCTTCTTTTCAGATATCTTTGGGATTTAAATTATTTATTTTTTTTTTAGAAAAATTCCCTTTTTTTAAAATGTACTAAAAAGCTTATGGTTGTCATGAGCCCTCTGTAGTGAATTGCAGTATTGTGGAGAGCCTGGTTAGGCCTGGTTGGTGAGTAGATGACTGTAAAAGCCCAAGTTTAAGCGGCTTTTCATTGCACATCTTGGAGGCCTCACTCAGCACGAGACAGTGGTGTTGGTACTGAAACAGTTCTTGCCATCTGACTTGACTGCTCAGGATCTGTAGAAGACACTCTCACTTGACTCTTTTAAAAAGCTCTAACTTTATTCATCCAGTGATAAAACCAGACTTCTAAAGCTGAAGAATGTTTTTCTCTTTTTGATGTTATAGAGGAATGACATTGCCATGGCAATTACAAAGTTTGATCAATTTGACTTTCTTATCGATATTGTTCCAAGAGATGAACTGAAGCCTCCAAAGCGGCAGGTGAGACATAAAAATGATTGCTTTCATGTCTTCCCTTTCCTTGGTATAATCTCCGGTTCTAATTAAAAGAGTGTTGGTAAAGCAATACAGAATCAGGTTTAAACATGAGGTTTGTGCCTCTCTCTCTTACGTGTTTATTTACAGTAGCTTTCGGGTTCTTAAATTTTTTTTTATGGAAGTAGAGCTTGGATGGAGATTTACAGAAGTCTGACTTGGGGATTTACTTAAGTGACAAAAACTACTAAATAGCTCTGGTACCTAATGTTGCCAAAGTTAAAAATTTAATTTTAAAAAGTGTGCTGAGTCTGCATCCCTTGACTTGTAGAGGGATAAATAAGCTTCTTTCCTTAGAAGTACCACCTCCTGCATCCTTTGGGGCAGTCATTGCTACTGTAAACATCCTTGACTGGAAGCTGTAAGGTGTTCGAAGGAGCTTTCAGTCGGATGTTTACAGCAGCAGGCTGCTGCGGTCATCTGAGCACAAGATCTTTGAAACTCCACAGGCTCGTGTTTTACAAAGCACTTGTTTTCCCTCCGTGTTTGAGACGGTGCTCAAAATGCAATGGGGTGGGGTTGAAGCTCAGTCTTGCCGCTTCAAATGCACAAAGAAACAGATCCAGCTCCTGGTAAACTAATTTATCTCCTTCACCTAAAAGCTTGGTGTTTTGCTGCTAAAAGTTCACTGGTTCGGTAGTTGCGCATCTCTCTCTGTTACAGCTCCATTTGGACAGAGCTGTTCCATGTTCCACGTCTCCTGGAATTGTTGCCCAGGACTCAGCTGGAGCAATTTCTTCTCTGAACAGTACGTTTCAGTAGTTTACAACAATTTAGAGCAATTCCTTCAGCTGTTTTTTGGATACTTTTGAAGGTTTGCAATGTGTTAGCCTTTGAAAAAATCCAAGGTGGTCCTTAAAATAACTTCTATAGTGAGTGCTACTGGAGAGGCTGGCATGCTTTAAAACATCTTTCTGGCAAGTGTTTTACTTGGAAGTTTTTCTTTGACATGTTTTTTTTGTATCCCAATATAAATCTGGGTAATATGCAAAAAGATACCCGCTTTGAGCATAGAGACCTGCGGTTCCATTGTGGACCTGGATTTTGGAGGTTGATATTTTACTTTTTCTTTAAAGTCCTCATGGTGCTACTGAAGTGACGGCCAAAGGGAGGATATACACACTTCATCCTTTCTGATGATGTCCTGAGTTGAGTTTAACCTCTTATCCTGATTCCCAGAAGCAGCGTAACTTTCTAGTAAATGAGGAGGATACCTTTACGTGTCACAATATATGCAGGGGAGTCCATCCTACTGCTGCTATAGTCAGCTTAATTAACATTAGCAGCATCCCAAGGCTTCGTTACAGGTGTGCTGGAAACTCTGTATTCTGTACACATGATGAGCATCACATGTGGGAGGTGGCACAGCTCCTTCCATTCCTTCACTGCGTTCCGTGCTTTATCCCTGCAGCAGAGATGGTTTATCCAAGGATGATTAGTTCAGTATTAAATAAAAAGACAAAGCAGCAGCCTGCAGAGCCGCTCTCCATGCTTTGCTTAACTGGGGGAAAGAAAGCCCACATTTCAGTTTGTTCAGCTTGATAAGCTGAACAAAGTTGGCTGCGGCCTGAAGTAACACAGGTTAATTCTGGCATTGCAAATTCAGTTCCTTTTTCTTTTAGGTGCCTCAGTTACTCTACTTGTAGTGCTATTTTTAGAAGTACTCCATGTTTGGGAGGGAGAATATCACCCATATCTTCCTTGCTGGAGCCTTTTGATTCACATCAGAATGTTCTGATTACATTCAAGTTCTATAATCAAATGAATGCCTGAAGTATTTTAGTAGTGTGTTAGATGCATATAGGTTGCTAGGTTAATGTGTCTTGATGATACATCACACCAGAGCTGTGTCTTTTGGATTGCGCAGCACCAGCAGTGAAACCCGGTCGGTTTTTGGTTTGAGACACCCTTCTGGTAGGGTATTGAGATCTGTCTCTTGACGACACGGCCACTGTCTGCGAACACTGCTGAATCGCTAGAAATACTTCTTATGGCAAGAGATCTTTAATGGAGAAATAGCTGCCCGATAAGATCGTAGGTTAGGACTTTGCAGTGGAAAACACTCCTTTGATTCAAAGTGTTGAAAAGCGGCCGCCTATAGGCTGACAGCCTGCACTTTTTGGCTGGGGGTACAAATCTGTATTTTATCTCTACCACGGAAAAGACTGTTTGACAAGTTAGTGTTGGTTACGTGGAAGAGCTGGGAATGAAATCACGATTGTTATGTTGCTCTGGTAACTAAAGCTATGGCTTGAAAATAAAAGATGGCAAACGATGTGATATAACCTAGTTCAAGCAGATTTGGATTAAAAGCCATTTTTGTCTGTAGCAAATACAACTTAACCTGGAATAGATACTGGCAGAAGTACTCAGTTGCTTTAATTGTTTCAGGATTCAGGTAGGAATTGAGAAGTGCTCCAGAAATAACCTCTCAAAAGACTGGGCTTTACAGAAACAGCCGCAGCTCTTCTATGCCTGTGGTTTTATGGTTAACTGAAGACATGTCCTGTTGAATATATATTTTAAATTTGTTATTAATCCATCCCCCAGAGGATTTGATGAAGCGAGTAGGATTAATTAGTAAACTGCCATGTGTAGGAAGTATTGCAAGTATGTGATTGCAGTGGTTTGCAGTACCGTGGGATAGTGCTAATGTTTGCTCTGAGAGCCAGGCTTAGAAGTCGCTTCTTGATTACAGTCAACTGTGAAGAGCTTCATCTTTGGAGGGTTATTTTCTGGTAGGGTATTGAGAAACGTCCCAATAGTAAATCTTTTCTTTAGTCGCTGACCCTCACAGACTAGCATCTAAGCGAACAGGCTCTTTCACTCGTGCCTGATGCCCATCTAGACAACCTACGTTGATCTTGTTTAATGTGAATTTTTCTTTTCCTGTCCAGTTGGATATACTGAAGGGAATCCATGAGCAAGCCTCATTTAATGCAAGGGAGTCAAGCGGACTTGTGTAAGTGGGAATCTACCATGTTGTAGCACGTGTAAACATCCTACACTCTCAGCTGTGAACTCGAGGTGGCTGGGAGAGGATTGTTTACGCCTTCTGCCATGGAGTGAACATCTGGTGAGCTGCATCTTCCGTAAGGTGCAAGATCCAACTGCTCCTCTGGGGAGCTTAAGAATTTTGATTCTTGAGTGTTAACGGCTTGCCACTTAACATAATCTCTGAAAATCTACTTCTTTGCCTAAAATGTCATTAATCATAAGGGGCTTTTCTCTCCTAAAGACATGCTTAGATAAAACAGCGGTATTACAGCCTGTGCTTCTGGCAGTGAGCTAGAGCAGAGCCTTTGGTTTCTTCACACTGTTGAGATATTCCTGCCACCAGCAGAATCAGGCTGTTAAGCTACAGTACAAAATGAAGTTGTTAGAATTCTGGAGAAGCTGGATTTAAATAGATAAATAAAACCATGAAAGTATACATCAAGTCCGTGACTTTTATTCTTAGAGGTTTAACATCGGAGCTAGATTGAGATTTTTGTTGGGCATGTAGGCTAAGAAGAGGAGTTTGTTGACAGATGAGGCTTTGTAAGTCTTCCTGGTGCATTTGCAATTTGTTCTGTGTTAAGATAACAAGTAATGGTGGAATTTACTGATGAGGAGTTGCATGGTTTTCAGCTATGGTAATTTTGCTTATTTGCTTCTCATAATGAAATTGGTGGCTGCATTATTACACATAGGATATTGGAAATGTGTTTGATTTCCATATAGCTGAATAAATGAGGAAGCCTATTTTGATTTATCATTTCAGATTTGTTTAACTAAACTGTTACAAACAAGGTATTAAAGATACTTTCCCATGGAGCGTGCTTATGGGGGGGGAGGGGGGATGTTTCAGCTGTGGTTGGGGTGTTCGGCTGTTGATCTGTTCCCTCCCCATTTACCTGTCTTTTTCCTGTGCTGCAGGAAGAGGTGCGTCAGGCTGTGACCCCAGCTGAGCCTGTACAGTATTATTTCACACTGGCTCAGCAGCCTGCTGCAGTGCAGGTTCAGGGGCAGCAGCAAGGACAACAGACCACCACATCCACCACCACTATCCAGCCAGGCCAGATCATCATCGCCCAGCCTCAGCAAGGGCAGGTGAGCCATGAGCAGCGGGCAGAGGCTCTGCGCCCCAGTGGAGCCACCGAAACCCTCGACTTGCCCGTATTGCAGTGTCCTGTTCTTACTGCTCGGAACAGTCAATAACAATGTAGAAACGTGTTTTCTGGTCGTGACCAGGTGCTAAGATACCTTAATAACAAGGGTCATAACAGGTTCCCTCCGTGGTGACTTAAGCATCAACAAGTTACCAGTGGGTCTAGGAAGTCATCTGTCTATTAGAGTCTTTGTACCTTGTGGCTGTTTCACTTGTGTTCAGTCCTTGCTTGGTCCTTATCCCTGTTTTGAATGCAGACCACCCCCGTGACGATGCAGGTGGGAGAAGGCCAGCAGGTACAGATAGTGCAGGCCCAGCCGCAAGGACAGACCCAGCAGGCTCAGAGTGGAACTGGGCAGACCATGCAAGTCATGCAGCAGATCATCACCAATACAGGAGAAATCCAGCAAATACCGGTAAGACTTTACCAGTAAAAATGTGTAACAGTCCTGTGAGCAAACCGTCTGCTGGTGTGACGGTATATGTATGCTTTTTTAACTGTAAGAGGAAGTTTGGATTGAGTGGTGTGTTTCCTGCACTAGAGAGGAAAACTAACCGGGTGTGACACGAAGAGGGAAATAAATCTAACATATCTAGCGTAGACTCACTGCCTACCCCCAACACTTTCCCCTGAGTGAAATAGTTATGATTAGGAAGCAATAAATAAAATATTTCCTGCATAAACCTTAGTTCTTTACTACAGCATGGTTTCAATAAAGCATAATTAACTTCTTTTGCTTTTACTCGGTTCTGCCTCTGCAATCTGAAGTCGTGACCTGGCAGACTGAGTGGGAAAGGTGCCATCTGTGAGTTATTAATAACTTTTATGTTATAAGAAATATTTCTACAAAATACTTGGAGCTGGTTGGAAGAGTGGCTTTGCAGAACCAGAACATAGCTCCTCACTTTCACATCAGTATAGACCTGCTGTCGCCTGAAGAACGGGATTTTGAGTAACCAACATCAGCAGTAACATTCTGGCAATGTGTCCTAGGTAAACACGTGGGTCAAAAAATAGTCACTTTTTCTCCCCCCTCTCTGTAGCTCATAGTCACAACAAGGCTGAGTCTTTTGCTTCGCATCTGGAAAATTTCACACCTCTTTAAGGAGAGGAAAAAAAAAAAAATCCATCCAGTTCTGTGTACTTAACCAGCAACCCAAAGGTCAGACCAAGTGACCAAGACAAGCATTTCAATTTGTCTTTGATTTCTATTATCAAGAAGTGATAATAGAAACAGCTGTTGCAGAACTGATATTTCACACAGGTTTGGCTTTTTAAGATTTGCTAAGCTTCCCTCTGTACATCTGGCAAATGTTTGTGCTTTGACATAGCATCTTGAAAAAGGTTTAGATTGTGGTTGTTGCCAGATTTTTCCAATTCACTTCCAAATTCTTTTAATCTCTTAAGTCTTCAGCTCATTCCTACTGCTTGGCTTAAGGTGTTGGTCAGAAAGGAGGTGAATTGTTTGCCAAATACGGTGTTTTACCACAAGCAACCTTTTTTCTTTTCTCTGCATTCTCTGCTACCTTTCTTTTACATTGTCGTGGTTTAACCTGGCAGGCAGCTAAAACAACCACACAGCCATTCACTCACTCCCCCACAGTGGGATGCGGGAGAGAATCAGGAGGAAAAAAAAAAAGGGTAAAACTCATGGGTTGAGATAAAAACAGTTTAATATGACAGAAAAGGAAGAGAATAATAATGATAAAAGAATATAGAAAACAAGGTGATGCACAGTACAATTGCTCACCACGCGCAGGCCACCGATGCCCAGCTAGTTCCTGAGCCGTGGTCTAAACCCCTGGCCAGGTTCCCCCAAGGTCTATACTGAGCATGACACCATATGTTACGGAATATCCCTTTGGCCAGTCGGGGTCAGCTGGCCAGGCCGTGTCTCCTCCCAGCTCCTTGTGCACCCCCAGCCTCCTCGCTGGTGGGGTAGAAGCTGAAAAGTCCTTGACTTAGTGTAAATATTGCCTGGCAACAACCAAAACATCAGTGTGTTATCAACACTATTCTTGCCCTAAATCCAAAACACAGCACTATACTGCTACTAGGAAGAAAATTAACTCTATCCTGGCCAAAGCCATGATACATTATCTTTTTTTTCCTTCCTTTCTGTATGAAAGTCTCTCCAAGATACTCCTTCAAAGCATTTTGGAAGGAGATCTCCACCTCCAGCCTTAGTGAATCCGTTACAACCGAATGTTGCAGCATCCTCCTTTGGTTCAGCTATAAAAGAACAGTTCAGACTGGTTTTCCAGGTGCTTCCAGTGAATGCTTAACTCCCTAAAGAAGGGGGCTTGGAGATCTGCTAGGAGAAAGAATTCTTTATAAAGTAGCTGTGAGGGGGCCATAACCTTCCGCAGAAAGTACCATTCTCCATGTAGGTGGATCCTCTTGCAAGTGGTCCTGTGTTTTAGGAGTGTGAGACTGGAAGCTTTTTAAGTAGTGTCTGGTTTTGGCCAAGCATCATGCTTCTACCTTCCTCTTGCCTGGGAGCATCTAAGAACAGGTACCTGTGACTGGTCCTCAGATGCTTCTTGTGCTGCAGGCATGAGACACAAACTGCCAAGTGTGGGATCTTCTGTCTTTCGGACTACTGGGGTCTCTTAACAAGTGTGAGACTGCAAAACAGAGCAACTTAGGAGCAGTGTTTGAATGAAGTAGTCACAATTTGCACTTCTGTATCTAGCAGAGATACTGTTTGGACTGTAATTAAGAGGATTCTTCTTAATCACGGTGTGTTGAAGAATCGCAGTTCGTACTGAAAGAAGCAGCTTGCTCGCTTCCAGCAACTGAAGTAAAATGGAACATGGAGCTGTGCGCTCGCTACAGGAGCTTTTTAGTGCCCTAACCCAGAAAGCGTTTTTTTGTTTGGTTTCACAGAATTGCAGTCATTGGTCTCAGTGCTGCTGTCTGTTCTGCTCTTTCCGCTGTGCTTGTATTATTTTTCCCTTGAGTTTCCTTCCTGTCTTGATCTAGTTAAAGCTGTCTTCTGATAGTTCCTTTTCACTGTGGTATCTGTTAGGGTTCAGCAAAGAATCTTTCACAACACAAACACGACAGTTTGAAACACTCATAAAACTAGTAGTGCCTCTGGTGATTGCACTTCTCTACTGTGATTTACCATTTACTCTAGGACCAAGGGTTGCCTGTGGAAAGGTGGCTTTTATTTTTTAAAAACTGAGAAAAGCCTGGAAGTGTTTATGTCAATTAAATGATAATCATTTGTTTGTCTGCATTAGTTTTGTGTTAAATTTAATCTGTACCTTTAGCTAGATCTCACTGGGCAGGTTCTTTGGAACTTACTCTCATTTCTGGAAGAATGCTCTTTCTAAATTGCTTTCATCCATTCCATTAGTAGTGCAGTTAAAATCTATGTAGGAAGCCCCCAGCGTGGAAAACATGATCTGCAAGCAGATCTTGGTGCAGAAGCAAATTCTTTATTGAAATGTTTATGCTCATGTGGAGTTTATTTGCTCTTGAAATAATATTGGAGCTTTTAGACACAGCTGGTGAAGTCAGCGGCGTTTGCGTAAATGCCAAGACTGCGTTCTAGGCACTTGAACCTTTGTCAGTGAGCAGTTTTCAAGTATTTTGTATGTCCTTCTTTCCCCTTTTTAAAAAGAAAAAACCCCTCAAAACCTTTTTTATTTTTTAATATAATTAACCTTAAGGCTGTGACTCTGTAAATGTACTGAAGTTAAATACCACTAAATGAAAAATTCAACGTTAGTATCAATCATACTGTGACCTTTTTATTGCTTCTTAGACGTATATTAGTAGTATTCGCTGTTTATGTCACAGAAAATGCAAGATGAGAGCTGAGGTTACCTTGATGTCATTGTCTTCATATCCCACTCCCCCAGGCATCTAACCTTGCAAGATCAGGGTTGTAGGAAATAAATTTGTGTTTGAATGTTACACACAAGGTATTGACACAGAAAGTATTGGCCTTTGCCAGGTGGGGGTTGACGTATATTGGCAGAAAGTTGCATTAAAGCTTCCAAATGTTACCTTGCAATATTCCTGGGGTTTGTCACCTCTGCTGTCTTTATGTGAAAAATTCCCATATATTCTTTTATATTTTTTTGGCAGGATATAATAGGAGGGTCATTATGTGCAGCTAGCTCATAATTTTCTTTATGTGAAATGATGCATCAAAGTAGTAACTCGATTCTTGTAACAGAAAAGAAAAATAAGTGTTCTCAAAGCTCTCTGAAATTTAGCAATTAATATGCTTTAGCTACTAACTGACCGCTCCCGTTCTGGAGAAAGAAGTAATGTTGTGCTTCCTCGGGGTCTTACTTCAAGAACCTGCAGGAGTTCTGTGGACTTCAGTCATGCTTTGGCAGGGTCTGTGGTAGTTTCTCATCAACGGAAGCTTCCCGGTGTCATCTGTTGCTCTGGCTTCTGTTGTGGAAACAAGAAGGCAAGTTTGTGTGTTTCAGGTTACACAGTTATCTGTTTAATTTTCTTTCCCTGCCCCCTCCGCTTGTCTCCAGGTTCAGTTGAATGCTGGCCAGCTGCAGTATATCCGCTTAGCCCAACCTGTGTCAGGCACCCAGGTAGTCCAGGGGCAGATCCAGACGCTTGCAACCAATGCACAGCAGGTATGCACTTAAAACAGCAGGGCGGACATTAACTGTTAAAGCGTTGTTCCCTAGCTCCTGAAACTGCAAATTCCAGTCAAATTTACCAACTCTTGGGCTAGGGTTCCTGCATTTCTTTTCTTCCTGTTACCTTCATCAGAATAATAAAGCACGGAGCGTAGCTGAAGCCTCCTTTACCTACCCGTGAAAGGTGCATGCATATATATGTGTGTGTGTATGTGTGTCTCGCTGTATAAAGCTCATGCTGCTTCTGAGCTGATTGCAGGTAAAACTTCAGTTCATCAACCTTCTCTTTACTTCTGCTCCTTCTGGCTGGGTGAGGGAGGAGCAGCAGCACAACCTCTCAGGAAAGCTGTTGCAGAGGTGAAACATCAAGACCAGCGTTGCTGCCGGCAGGTTGTCTCATGTTCTTGTTGAGACTGGTCGCTAAGGGATTCTCCTCTGCCTTCAGAGGATAGGAAGGCTGCTGCTTTTCTGTGATCCCGGAGGCCGTGTTCTCCTCGTGAAAGTCAGAGAGGACGTGCTTGTGTTTGGTTTGGAACGGCTGAATTTCATGTCCTTTGTTCTTGACTTGCGGTTAGCACCAGCATGACTGCGGGCTGGCGGCATGAGCCGTATCTTACCACGTGGTTGGGTAATGAAGTTTGAAAGAGTCTAAAAGCTCTTGAAAGGCAGCAGCAGAATATTGTTAGTGGGGTTCTGACCCTCTCCGAAGTGCTGTCAGTAATCATCCTTCTCCTATCCTTGTAGATAACGCAGACAGAAGTCCAGCAAGGACAGCAGCAGTTCAGCCAGTTCACAGACGGACAGGTAAGAATTTGGAGCTCACTGGTGCAACATCCCTTTGAAGTCAGGGGCTGCAAAGACTGTTCTAAAGTCCGCATGTTCTAGCAAACTGGCTCCTCCCGATAAAACACTGCTACTGCTACCAAACCTTAACCAGGAGCAGGGTAAGTGGATATTGTGCCAGTCTTAATTCGGGTGGATTCTTTGTATTCTGCTGCCTTTGCTCCAAATGAATCTCAGTCCCTTGCCCTCTGAGTGGGATCCAGTTTAGTCCAAACCAGCTTAGGAATAAAGATCTTATGCAATAGTCGATAGCTAGAGGTTAAGTAGCCTGAACTCAATTTGGACATCAGAAATTCACGGCATTACTTTGTTACGATTTAGCAACAAATGTCTAGTGGTAACTTGTGGTCTGTTTTTTGGGGACAGGTTTTACTTGGACCTGAGAGTTGCTGTTAACGCCACCGCTAAACTTGCAGGGTTAACGCACGGCATGAGCTTAGAGGGAGCTGGTGCTGGGTGTGATGAGAACTGACAGTCCTTTCTTTCCCTGCTTCTGTCTCTGCCAGCAACTTTATCAGATCCAGCAAGTGACCATGCCTGCAGGCCAGGACATCACCCAGCCCATGTTCATCCAGTCCACCAACCAAACCTCAGACGGCCAGGCCGCACAAGTGACAGGGGACTGAACAGGGACGTCGCAGCAAGTCGTCTCTCTGCGTGGAAACGAACACGTACCAGCCTGACGTTTGCCATCCCAACCTGGTCTGATGAATACATCTGCTTCTGTGTATCTGTACTTGATATTAAGCCTATAGTAGGCTGCAATCTCCGGTGCACTATACACCTTCCTCTGGTGGGTATGAGAGAATATCCAACAGACACTGTATGCAATATTTTTATTTTTAGAAATCAATATTTCAGTGTATTCAGCTGCTTGTTCAAACCCATAAAACCGAAAGAGAACTAATCAAAAGGAAGTTGTAGCATCTCATTGAACGATATGTAAAATGTTTTTATCTAGTAAAATTATTAAAGGGTACTGCATCTGGTTTGTTGCAAGAGCTTTATTCCTGGTATTCTGTTTGTATTTTTTCTCTGAATAGAGCTAGATTCAGTCCTCCCATCTCAATGGTTTATTAGGGGCGTATGGGGGGAGTGTGTGTGTGTTAGATATTCCTCTCCTGCCTCCTTTTTTGGTAAGCTGGAGCATTGGCTATATGCAGCTCAAGGGTAGGGAGTAGGGGAGGAGTAATTAAAGAGAAAACAAAAAAAAACCCCAACATTCCTTGTATTATGACTGTGTTTTCAAAGGGCGAAAGATTCTTGACTTTGGCTTGGTTTATTCCAGAAACACTAATGGAAGTCTGGACAAACCCCAGCCCTGCTGTTAACTGTTGTACTAGCTTCAGTCGATGCATGTAATATAAGCTTCATAAAATGAAATAAATTTCCTTTGTAAGATAACGTGTGCACTTTCTTTGAGATCCAGTGCCCAGTCTCAACCCGCCAAGCAAAGAGCATCCTGAATCCGTGGAAAATACTACACCTGAAGTAGTGAAACAAGCCACAGGGCTTAAGGGTGGCCCAGAGAAGGGGTGAGAAGGGCTCGAGTGACAGGAGGAGGGAGGCTGGGGGTCTGTGGGTGCCAGCCACGCTGAGGGCGCTCCGTGCGGATGTCATACTGTGATTTGTTCAACTGCGGGTACCAAAGCTGTGCTGTCTCCCTGCAGCTTCCATGTCTGGTGTCCAGCTGAACCAGGGAGGAGTTTGGGGCAGGTTTGAGCCAACTCCAGAGGTCAGGTTTAATTAAACACACCGCAGGGATCCCGGCAGCGTTAGGCCAAGTTTAGGTCTTGGCTAAAAGAGAGGTGCGAGTTTGTAACCGAGAACCTTTGTGCGTTCAAGCGGTCTGACGTAGTTGGCGCTTTGTGCAGTGCCCTGGCAGAGCCAGCGCTGGCACTTGTTTATTTTTCACCGGCGGAAGCAGGAGGCTTGCCATGGGTTTGCGATGAGAAGAGGCTGGCTGCTCCTGCATGTGCCATGTATCGCAACGCTCGGGTGCAGGCTGCTTAGCCCAGGTGAGTTCATTCCCCAGCTATGGGATGCGGGGTGGGACGCGCTCGCCCTGCCCTCGTGAGAACTGCGGGGGGTAGCTGCTGCCGGGGAAGGAAAACTCCAGTTCAGCAGTTGGCTGGTGCAAACTGCTAAATCTGGGCCAGGTTGTTCCAGTCAGGCCAGGGAGCTTGCTGCGTTACCTGCACCTCCTGGGCTTTCTAAATGTCAATTTTCGCATTTCTTCGACTGTTTTTTCCGATCCCGCAGTGCCGGGGAGCGCGCAGCGCACCGCAGCAGCAGTGGGGCGATGCAGCCCGGCGCCTTCCCGAGCATCAGCCCTCTGGTACCGCGGCCTTGTGCG